ACTCTGTATATCTGGTGGTTGTGCAAATTGATATAACTACATTGTGGGGTTTGGGTTTTTGGTTTTTTAAAATTAATTTTAATGAAAGTTTACAGAGACTTAGTGTTTCCAGTCATTTATTGTTGCACTTTTCTCCCTTCCCCCCATGTGGGGGTTTTTAAAATAAGTTTTTATTTTATATTAGTTTGCTAACAAAGCTTGTGTACATTGTTCACCACAAGTTAACACTCTTATAAAATTGAAAATACGTAAAAGAGAGAGAGTGTGTGTGTGTGTATGTATGTGTATGTGTATGTGTATGTACCATCTAATCAGATCTGACCTAGTACAGAAGGAGATTGCCCCTCTTTCTCCAGCAGAGCATCTCGTGGATTCAAACCGTGCTCCTCTGGGATTGCAAGGCAGCTTTTGCTACTAGGCCACCAGAGCTCCGTAATACATAATATTTTAATACCCAGAATTTTCACTTGTAGGTATAGCTATCTTGTTCAGAAGCCAAATATTCCTAAGTAGAATGAATGTTACTTACCCTGATTTACTACTGGTGCATTTATAAGATTTGGGTATTTTTTTTGCCAAAGTGTAGTCATACTGAAGGCTGTAGTTGATCTTTATCAGTAACAACTTCAGATCTTAGTCACTTTCAATAAGCAAGGTTGTATTAGACATCTCTCAGGTTATTAATCTTTCTCTAGTCATGATGCTATATTGTTCTTCATATCGTTCTACTTTTTGGATTATTTGCTCAGCATACAGATTAAATAGGTATGGTGAAAAGATGCAACCTTCATGCACACCTTTCCTGATTTTAAACCACACATTTATCCCTTATTCTATTTTAATAAATATCTCTTGTTTCTGCATGGGCAAACCTTGCATGAGCACAATTAAGTGTTCCGCTGTTCCCATTCCTCATGTTACCATAATGTGTTATGATCCAGCAAGGCTTTGTGAAGTCAGTTAATAAAGATCTTTCTCTTATTCCTTTGTATACAGTCTAGATTCATCTGACGTAAGTGATGATATCCCTTATTCAAGATTCTCTTCTGAATCAACATGGACTTTTTGCAATTCTTTACTAATATAGTTCTACAGTCACTTTGGAATTAACATCAGCAAAATTTTGCTTGCTTCTGATACTGTGTGATAATCTGTGATCATTTGTACTTAATTTTAATGAACATTTGCAGAGATTTTGGGTTTTCATTCATTCATTGTTGCACTATTTTCTCTACCCTCCTCCCCAGTTCGTTCTTCTTTCCACCCCCCTTGAAAGTCTGTTTTAATTGTCCAGTTGCCGCAGTGCTTGTCAAAGCCAGTTCTGATTAATCTCCTTTGTCATTGTGTCCTTTGCCATTCCCTATCACTCCTCCCTGAGAGAGACTTCACTCTGATTCATAAGGAAAAGGGGATGGCATATTCTCTTAGCTATAAAACATATTTTTTAAGTCATTCTCTTATTATTTGACTGAAAAGAATTATTCAGAAGTGCCTTCAGTTCCAAGTTAAAAGGATTTTAGAGCAACAGTTTCAGGGATTTTTAAAATCTGTCAGTCCAGTAAGTTTGGACTTTTTTAAACACAAGTTTTGTCATATATTTTTCTTCCATTCTATCCAGAACACTTTATATTGTCCCTATGGTCAGATTTATTGGTGGTGATTTTCAGGCACCATCTAGTTTGTCTGAGCTAGAAGAGCTCGTGATTCATATGGACTAATGTGTGCTGTTAGCTCCAGTTGGGAAGGGGCTAGTAGTTAAATCTTTGATGGCCTTTACACCTTAAAAAGAATGTCAGACATTACAAAACAAACTAGAATGTAGAACATTGTCTTAATGAAGTATATTGGACCAGTTGACTAAATTGTACCATGAAACTATGGCCTCAAATCCTTTAATCTGGTAAGTCAGTTTTGCAAGTTGTTTAGATGTTTAGGAAGACTATATAGTTGTGCTCTCATCTGCTCTACTATGTATTTTAGTTGTGCTCTCAAACATGTACACATTTGTGCCTACAAATTAAATTTACTCATAGCTGTTTTGTCCTTGGGAAGGGGCTATTGTAAATGGTATTTATTCTTCTTTTCAGAATTGTCCTTAGTAGTGTAGAGGAATCCAGTTAATTTTTGTGTTAGGCATACTGTTTTAAATAGTCCCCTGATTTTTTTTCATTTGTTAGCTAAAGTTGTCATTTTTATTAGACTAAATTTAAGTATTTGATAAACTATTCACATTGTGATTCTGGGAATTTTTTAGTCTTAAATAGTTAATGAATGTGTGAATTAAGTAGTATGTGCATAACTGTTAACTTTTTACCTTTTCCTGAAATGAATGAAGGTGTGTGCAATCATTTTAGCAGGATGGTTCTCTCCCAACTTCTCACTCTAGAGTTCCACTTCATAGTGAAACATTTCTAGAACTTGTAAACATTTCTGGAGGTGGAAGCATGAGACAGAAGCCTCTGTAATAGTAATCAAAACTCAACGTCACAGAAATAACTGTGCTACAGGAATTTTACTCATTCTAGAGGTTACTGATCGTGTGTCTTCACTGCTTTAGTGTTAACTTCCACTCAAGATATCCTAACAACTTAGAGTTTTCAGGATGAAAAGAATTAATAAATAGGCAAAAGGAAAAGTGTTTAAGTGAACTCAGCAACAGAGAGAAGGGGCGAACAAGGAGAACATCCAAATCAAGTGACTTCAATCCAGAAATGGGATTATTCAAAGAGATAGATGACAAATTTAAAAATGTTGAGATTCTCAAGAGAAACTGATAAGTTTCTAATTATAGCTAAAAAATTCTTTAAAAGTGAAGAATACTTCTCTATGTGAATTGGTAGATTTGATTAGTATTGAAATGTAAATTCATGACCTAGAAAATTAAGTAGGAAAAGTATGTCAAAATGGAAAAATATATAAATTAACAAAGAAAAAGATGAGATACAACAGTTGAAGATCTGTTATTATTTATACCCCAAACCCAATGCCATCAAGTTAGTTCCAGTCCATTGTAACTCTCCGTTAGGTTTCCAAGGCAGTGTAATTATTTTCCAGAGATTAATCATCTTTCTCTTTTGAGAGACTGGTGGATTTGAACGGTCATTTCTTTTAGCAGCACCACCATCAGAGCTCCTGAAAGATGTTGTTGTAGTTGTTGTTAAGTGCCGTCGAGTCGCAGGCGACTCTTAGTGACCCTATGAAGGAGGGTCCTCGACGCTTGGGTGCCTCTCATCCTCTCTCCAGGTTCATAGGATTTCCGGAAGCAAGCTATTACGGAAGTGGATGCCGCTCCTGCTTCCAAGCTTGTTTTAATTGGGGAGCGCCAGCCCACACTGTACGCATTGGGTAACCAGCCATTAACGCATTTGACACACATCAGTGTCACAGTGTTCAGCCTCACAGTAACCACAAGTGACCACTGTACGGCAACTTATACACCAGGACTATACGACCTAGGGGAATGTCTGAACAAAAACAATGAGAAACCCGATGTAAAAGAGAACGATTTTCCTCTGGTCAGAATAATAAAAACAGAACTTACTGCATTCCGAACAAGAAGTATTGAGAGTGGTAGGAGACCACTTTAATAAGATAGTTAGGAAAGATAAATAATCAGATATACCTAGACTTCTCCTTTGTAATTTTGGAAACTAGAAGGTACTATATCTACCTATTTTGAGGTTTGTATATTTTATTAAATTTATGTGGGTATGTGGAAGGTCTGGTGTCCTAGTGGCAAGAAGCTTCACTTCAGTCCTGAAGACACAGGGTTCAAAGCCACCAGCTTCTCAGCTGGAGAAGGGTGGGCAGTTTCCTTCTGAATGATTGAGTGCCTCTTAAAACCCACTGCATGGTCAGCTATGGATTAGTTCCGACTCTATGGTATACAACAACAGCAATGTATTTAGCATATCCCTTGCATTTCCTGAACTTTTTTTGAGGATCTAGAGGCTTAATCCAATTTAGATTTTATCACTTTAGCAGATGATATTCAGACCGAAGACATACAGTTATTTTTGTGGAAAGATACTAGCTTTTGATTTGGAATCCTAGATTTAGTAATTCTTTGAGGGTTACAAAATGGTGATAGCATATTCTTTTTCATTCATAACTAAAATACTTTAATATAGAACTACTTTATCTATTTGGTTACTCAGTATAGGATATTAATATAGAACAGACAAGATCACTGTTTGAGTCTATCTTTATGAAGTTGACATGGACTTTAATCTATTCCTGTTATATTTATTATACATGAAATTGGCTCTTCTTTGGTCTACAAAGCAAAGATGACTCTTGCTTCTGCTTCCTTTTCATATGACCTTGGTAATCTTTGATTACTTGTAAAAGAAGTATTTCTTGTTTTGCTTTGCTAAAAACCTCAGAATGTTTTATTCTGCATACTTTGGGGATATGTTTATTAATAGTATGATTTTTTTAAAAGTAGTAAATAGGCAGATATATCTTAAAACTTGTGTTCCTTGGAGAAAATAATCATTTTTTTAAAAAAGCAGTGTTCTTGGAACTGTGGTAACCTAGTGGCAAGAAGCTGTGTTGCAATCCCGCATGTGTGCAGTTCGAATCCACCAGATTCTCCTGGAGAAGGAGGAGCAATCTCCTCTTGTGCCAGTCGGGTACAACTCAGTGGTACACAGTAACAACAAAAAAAGAGACTCATTTTTTGCTTTGTTCAGTAGGTCATGGGGTAGCACTGCCTTGCTTTGTCTATGTATCCCTTTGCAAAGTATTTCCCCTAACAAACCACTTTTTTTTTTAAAAATTTAGGTTGTTTATTTTTCCACTTTTTTAAAAAAGAAATGGTGTTCTTATGTGTGGCATGTCTTAAGAAATGAGAATTTTCTAGAAACTGGCTTAGAGGTCAATTTTAGAGTGACTTTTTCAGACAGTCAGAAAACATCTGAATGCTTACTAGGTCTGTATCCACAATGGGAACTAAGTTCAGAGACTGACTTTTAAAGAGTTAATTTTTTTTCTTTCAGATTTGTCACGAAATCGTCTCTCAGAAATCCCTCTTGAAGCGTGCCACTTTGTTTCCCTTGAGAATCTCAATTTGTACCAAAATTGTATTCGATATATCCCAGAGGCAATTCTAAACCTACAAGCTCTGACATTCTTAAATATCAGGTAAGAAGATTCTCGCTTTTTAAATATTCCCAGTTTTACATGATCTTTTCAATTCATTCTCCTTCATGAAAGTGCACTCATTCCTGACCTATATATGAACTATCTCATTATCTGACTTATCCCTTTAGGACTATAATAAAATACAAATCCTCCTAAATGAATTGTTGTCAGCAGGATGGCACCTTAATAACAACACCAACAACAGGCAAAAGGGAAAGAAGATAAAGTTTGTGAGAGGGATACCCCCTCCAGCTGGCTGTGTGCCTTCCAGAATTTTGTATTATCTGGTTCAGGTGAGGGAACTCTAGGCTGTAATACTTGGTGGTCATAATACTTGCTGGTCTGACAAGATGTAGGATTGTTGCATAAGAGGCAAAGGTAGATGGGTTGTGTGGAAGTGGTAGGAGCTGATTTTCTGGACTTCTTAGAGTCTCTTCTGGCAAATAAGCCTCTCTCCTACCTCCACAGCCACCACTGGCTCACGATGGCTGAGCCTAACCCCTCTGCAGACCAGAGAGTCACTCAACTGCCAAGGCTCATCTCAGACCAGTAGAAATGGAAGGGAGAGAGTCTAGGAGTAGAGTTTGTCTTAGAGGACTGAAGTATGGTGAGGTGATATGGTGGTTTCCTGCTTCCCACAGGCAATCCCTGACCATCACTTTATGTATGTTAAACTTATTTTCAAGATGTTTTATTTCTTTAAATCTTTGAATATAGTAATTTTACTACGAAAAAATTTACCTTAGGAAAACAAAAATAAATATTTACAAACGAAGATGCTCTGTAAGGGCTGAGGAATTTTACCTTAGCCCTTACAGGGTAGAAGTCTGTCTTCAGTGAGAAAGGAAGGCTGCTGCATACCCCTGAAAATGTTGCTAAGGCCTTCTGGCTTCTAAGTATTGGAGTGTAAGGAAAGACATAGGTGGTGCCAAAGATGAGTTTTTTGTAATGAAAAAATAAATAGTAGAGCAACTTAGTCCTCTGAGGACAAATATATAAGACCATTATTGTAGACCATGTATGAGGATTCAAGAGAGGTGAGCAGGGGGAGAAGATGGGAGTGATTAATGATAGGGTTGCACAATTTGATGGATGGAGGGAGAGGTGGGTAAAGGAAATGGGAAAGATCTGGTGTGAAAAACAATGTATATAAACTTTGTAAGTAAACCAGTATAAAAGAAAAATTTTATTTTTTTTTAAAAAGAACATTTTTGTTTGTAAATATTTTTTTCCAAAGATAATTTTTTTAGTAGTAAAATTACTATATTAAAAGTTTTATAGCCAACATCTAAGTAGATATGTGCACACCCATGTTTATCGCTGCTTTGTTCACAATAGCAAACAGTTGGGAACAACCCAAGTGCCCATCAACAAATGAATGGATAGAGAAGCTGTGGTATATTCACACAATGGAAAACTACACTGCATTGAAAAACAAGGAACTCATGCAATATTATTCAAAATGGGTGACCCTGGAAGACATTATGCTGAGTGAGGTATCTCAGTCACAAAGGGACAAATGCTATATGGTGCCACTGTTATAGAATGGGACTGACATCAGGGTTGGGATAAGACTGAGAAAAACTGGATAAACTATGTATACTGCATTGAAACAGATGAGGGAGAGAACAATTTAAAAGTGATATACGATAGGGTATTATGGTTATCACAAGAGTCCAGAATTAAGGTTGCATAGTGGAGTGTATTTGGGGCGCGGGAGCGGGAGGAGTGTATACCAATGAAAGAATTTTTCTTTTACTTTTCAAAGAGAGGAGTGAACTGGGGCAGAGGGCTGGGCAGGGAGAAAAGTGCAACAATGAATGAATGGAAGTCCAAAATCTCTGTACGTGTTCATTAAAATTAATAAAATAAAATTTAAAAAAGTTTTAAAGAAACAAAATATCTTGAAAATAAGTTTAATATGATGTTGTTGTTTTTGTTGTTAAGTGCCATCAAATTGTAGGCAACTCATAGTGACCCTATGAACGAAAGACCTGAATACTTGTATAACTTTAATCATCTCTCCAAGTTCATAGAGTTTCCAGAAGCAAAATATTTTTGAAGTGGATGCCACTCCTGCTTCCAAGTTTGTATTAAATGAGGAGCTCCACCAAACACTGTCCACCATGGGTAACCATTATCGCATTAGACACATCAGTGTCACAGTGTTTAGCATCACGGCAACCATGAGATTACCACTCTACAGCAATTGGACAGACCAGTGCTATACCATTTAGAAGAATGTTTCACCAAAAACAATTAAAACCAGGCCTGAGGGCCGCAGATTAAAATAACCCACCTTTGACTTGGTAGCATAACTTTCTATCCACTAGGCCAACAAACCTCTCTTGTCTGAAATAAATTTAATATACATAACAAAATTTTAATTTATCCTAATAATAGTTGTCTTGTTTTACTTATGTTCTTATTTGTGTAATGTTTCTATTTATTTTAATAAAAAGATTCTTACCTGTGGATAGCTTAGTATTTTTGTATATGAAATCACGGCTTTGTCATTATTTTCCATAGTGCTGTGTCTGAATCATTTTTGTAGCTTTGATTATAATGTAGTAAAGAAATAGATTTATGTTTTCAACTCTTCTCTGGGAGGAAGAAGGAAGGATGCTAACTAATCTACTTTTCCATAGTTTCTTCTTGTATAAACCTGAAAAAAATGCTATTTTGTGTTTACAAAGAACTCTTTCATTTATACACACAAAACATCTGTGTATGTAAGTAGCAGTCATACAAGATAAGCAGTGTAGGTGCTAAGATCCTCAATTTACAGATGAACAATTTCTGTAAGATTCAAATAAGTTAAAATGCTAAGCCTAAAGTAAAAAAGCTGACAAGCACTGAAATGAAGACTAGAATTGATATCTGATACTCTTCTTCATTCCTTACAGGACTGATACTTGTTATTATACTAAGTTCAGAATTGAAGAGTTTCTATCTATAGTGGGTTCCTAATTTTTTTCTTTTTTGTTTACCACTTTAGTCGGAACCAGCTGTCAACATTGCCAATACATTTGTGCAATTTACCATTGAAAGTCTTAATTGCTAGTAATAACAAATTGGTCTCACTTCCAGAAGAAATTGGACACCTCAAACATTTGACAGAACTTGTAAGTTAATATTTTATTTTTGATTGTGTAGGAGCAGTATTGCAGGCATTGGGGAGGCAGTATGAAGCATTTCTTTACTTAATACATAAGAAGGAATAATTTCCAGTATCAGCAAGAGCAGCACAAGACATTCCTTTCAGTTCAGACATGCTCCCACACTTCTATACCTCCTTATTTCAAGTCCAATACCACTTTTCCTCCTACAACTCTCACTACCCATTACTGGGTTTAGTGATCTGTTGCAGTGATCCTGCAGACAAAACTCAAGACCATGGAATTTGTTAGGGAAATAATAGGTTAGAATTCAGGTCATAAATTTCAGGGCACTGTTCTTCAATCAGGACATGCTTGTAGTCAGGTCTTCCTCAAGGCTCTGCGCCTGTGTTAACAAAACTTAGTTCTGTCAGTTATGAGCATGCACCCCCAGTCTCTTAGCTCTGGCTCCTTGGGGTGACAGTTCTCTTTCAGCTCTGTCTTAAACAAATCTCCGGATGTCTGCAGTCTCTTTTGTTCCTGCTGCTGCATCTGAGTCATCTTGAGTCTTGAGCAGGAATCTCTGACCCAAAAAGAAGTGCTTCACTCTCTGCTGCTGCTATTTTAATGTCAGTGAGATTTCTGTTATCTGCCTCTGAACTTGCTTATCTTAAGTCTAATGGATTGTCAAAACTGACTAATCTTATCAGTAGTGATCTCTGCAACATACTCACCTGTTTCCACACAAAAGGTACTATTTTACTTTATTTCCATTATAAGCAAGTTATTCAGTCCCCTTGGTGAGACTACAGATACCCTACATTAGCTGGGCAAGTAGTGAAAGCCAAAGCCAATGGCTGGAAAAGCCAAATGTCATAATCCACTAGCACCTATATCTGTGTATCCATAGCCATTCTACACTATGATATGGTAATGATCCATGAATAAATACGATTTTTCTGTTTTTCAGTATTGACTGTGTATTTTTATTAATTCAGCACAGAATTAAGAATGAACTAAAATTATGTCTTATAGGCCTTAATAGAATAGAAGAAAATAGAATTACATTCTGTCCCACATTAAGTACTTCTATATTCTTAAACTTTTTAAATATGTTAATAATGTGTTTTGAGTATCCCACAGTAATTCTGTTAATACCTTTTTTTCGTTAGTCCCTATCAAGGAAAATGGACACACCAAAGTTCAGATTGTATTTTTACCTCCGTATATGCTGCCTTTAGAACCTATATTCCATTTTAAAGTAAACTTTACACATGTATTTTTAAGATATTTAATTGAATTCCCTTACCTACCGTTGTTATTGTTGTTGAGTGCCATTGAGTCCAGGTTGACTCATAGCGACTCTATGAACAAAAGGCCTAATGCTTTTCCACAGCTATCTTTGTTTCTCCACGTTCATAGAGTTTCCAGAGGTATGTGGTTTAGGAATTGGATGCCACTTATGCTTCCCAACCTGTTTTACAACTGGGAGCTCCACCAAACACTGTCCACAATGGGAAACCATTCTGGTATTTGATATCCCCATGGCACCAGGTTCAGCATCCTAGCAAACCCAGTTTACCTCATATAGCACATTGACAAAGGGTGATTTGAAAAGTGGAAGAATGTTCCTCCAAGATATAACATAATTAGTTATGTTGATAGATGAAACCACCATTGAGATATAATATAGCTGGTCTCATTTAGCAGTGGTTAAGTGTTGTCAAGTCGAATATGACTCAGAATAAGCTTTGCACAAAAGATCTGAACATTTTTCTATGATTAATATCTCTTCTGTACATTTATAAGAGTTTGTAGAGTTTCCAGAGGCACTTATTTTAGGAAGTGGATGCGACTCCTTCTTCCCAACGTGAATCTATCTGGAAGCTCATCCGACCATTGTACATAATGGGTAACCATTATGGTATTTGACACAACTATGGAATAGTGTTCAGCATCACAGCAACTCCAAGTTGTTCAGTACAGCAAATAGACAAATGCTTGTTTTTCTTTTAAAGAATATTAAAATTAATAAATTTGGCCCGTCTTTGCCTGACATCCAGCCCGATGAAACCACCATTGAGACAAAGACCAGCCAACCAGCTGACTTCCAGAGTGGAGGGAGACTTCTACAGCCAGCCCACAGACCCATTAATGATTTTAAATCCATGCCCTCGAGCAGGGCTCCATCCTTAACCTGAGTGTAAATAATAAGAAACCATCTCTTTTGATCATGCAAAGAAGACTTTTTCATTTAATCATCACAATAACATGACTTGAGTACCCAACATTATATAACTGAAATAAAATTTAAAACCAATCTACCTTCATTCCAAAACCCCATGTTTTCGTACAGTTGTCTTGTACATGTTTCTGAAATGGCTAAGTTGAATTATGTCCGTTGAGATTTTGGAATATATTCCTTTTAGACTGTTTATACTTAATAACAAAAATAAATATTCGAAAGAGAAAAAACTAAATGTACATAGAATCTTATTGAACCACAGATTAGCTCACTTATTTGGAAAGAAGTTGGATTCATAATATGACATGCCAGTGAGGTATAAAAACTTCAAAAATACATTAAATCTAGTGTCGAGGTTCTAACCACTGTTTTTAGAGCTTATCAGACATAGGAAATAAATCTCCAATGTATTTTATTGGCTCTTTTCCACCTGAGAAATTGGCTTAATTATCTTGATTCTTTTTTTCCCCCTGATCATTTAATCATTCTTTTTCTACTTACTAAATTATAAAAGACAGATATGTTTGCAGAAGGTACTTCTGACTTTCCCAGAAAAGGTTAGTTGATGGCCTTAGTCATAGAAAAGGGAGCTTTGATAGTGCAGTCCATAGAGAGTTGTATTGCTAACCCAAAGATTGCACGTGTCTGGCTGTTAGAATCCACCAGCTGCTCAGCAGAAGAAAGACAGGCAGTATTCTCTTAATGCAATTTACAGCCACAGAAACCATATGCATGGTCTGTGTAAGAGTCATACAAAAGGAGCCTTGGTTCAGCACTCAACTACAGACTTAAATACACTCAGCGCTTAAATACACTCAGCCTTCCCTGACAGACCTGATGATCTGCTCTTAGGAAGACTGTGACCCAGAAACCCCAACAGGAGAGTTCTGTACTGTGAAGTAGGGTCTCTGTGAATGGAAATGGACTCAGCATCAACTAATATCAAAAAGTCATACAAGAAACTTGAGGCATAATAAGAATAGTAGCCCTGAAAATTCCTGACTCCCACGTTAGGGTGTTTCTGTAACAACCTTATGCTTCTTTCCTTTTTCCTCTTTTAGGTGAAAGTAAATTGTCTTTGAGTGCAAGTATTTTTTCCTAAAATAAATACATAAATAAACAAAAATTGCTGTTACCTTTCAGCTTATATTCAATATTTTTTCACCTTCTTTTAGACCTCTTTATTTTGCTGTCTAGAGAATTTGACTCAGTGATCTGGCTACTGATCCTTTTACAGTACTACGTGGTAGGAAAAGAGAAAATAGGACTATTTTCCTTTAGAATATTTTATAAAAATTTAAAAGTAGTATTAGAACTGTACTATTCACACTTTTGGAGTATGATCTTCTGTAAATAATGATGGTGTTTATCTTTTTCTCATTTAATGGAGTTTTGTGTGTTACTGTGACTCATACTGTGAAATTTGAAGTTACCTAGGCAGATTCCCTGCTCTACATCTACACAATGATTATAGGTTTACAGATTATTCCAATTTCATTCATTTTAATGAAATTCTGAATGTCTGTCTTAGCACCTTCACGTAGCCCAACTAGTGAAATCAAGTCATTAACTAAGATACCAAAAAGCCTTTCTAATATATATAGTGAAGCAGTATCTGTTTTTAAATAGCCTTTTAATTATGTATGCTCACATTCATTTTGATAAGGAATCACTTGTATCATTTTCAATGTATTTATGTATTATTAATCAGTTGAGCTAGTTTTTCTTTTCAGATAATTCTATCATTGAACATTTTTCTTCTCTTTTAATTAGAACAGTAAAAATATCTTTTTCTGTTTTACTGTTTACTCATTTTATTCCATTTGATTTTCTAGACCTCCTAGCCACATCTTAAGTTAATCTAGTTCAGTTTACAATGTTCCTGTGTATTTACATGAAATGTATAAGATCATTCAAAGGCCTACAAATTTTTTAAAACAAATGCCAGTAGCACCTACAGAATTACTCCTGCGCAGAAAATTTTTAAGTTTTTACATCTGGAAAAGACCTTATCTTAACCAGCTTTATTTTATGGATACTTTAAAGTAAGCAAGTTTGTAATACTGAAACAATTCTTTACTTTTATCCTTTTGAAATAGGATGTGAGCTGCAATGAGATTCAGACAATTCCATCCCAAATTGGTAATCTGGAGGCCTTGAGAGATCTTAATGTAAGAAGAAATCACTTAGTACGCTTGCCTGAGGGTAAGAAATTGTTAAATTATTTCTTTTTATTATTATTTTTCTGTTTAATTTAAAGATTCTTCAGACCAATAGATGTATAATAAAAATGTATATGAATTACAGCCAGTGTTTGAGGTATACTGGTTTAATGTTTTCTATTTTATTGTGGATTTTAAATAAGTATCTTCATTGAAAAACTCTCATAAGCATGTGTTATATTTTTTTTCTTTGGCTGTTTTAAATGGCAGTAACCTATAACTGAGTAACCTATAACTCACTGGAAGTTTAGTAAGCATGATTATTTAACATGAAATGTAACATTTTTTTAATAAAAGTATAATATAAAAAGTGCAACAATGAATGAATGGAAATCCAAAATCTCTGTAAATGTTCATTAAAATTACTAAAATTTTTTTTTAAAGTATAATATAATGAGACTATTCCTACAAATAGCACTGACTTTAAAATGTATTTTGCCCTATAGTTAATAGCTTTGATCTTCATTAGAAATTTTCATATAGATACTATGTAGAGATGTTATTTAGAATTAGAGACTATCTTAGGTGACTGGTTATCTTTGCCTGACTCAAACACATGTTTTTTGTATGTGAATGATAAAGATTATTAAGCACATGTATTAAGTATATCAATCTTTTGAAAATAGGGAATGGAAAGGGAAGAGCAATTATTTTTTTGTGTTCAGTGCATGGATTTCTTTAATATTATTATAGAAAATTTATATATAAACAAGAGCAAAGAAATTTCAGTCCTTCATGTATGATTTCATTTGCTTTCCTCCACCCAATAGTTTTCTAGTTTCTTCTCCAACAAATAACTAAAATGAACAAATTATTACAATATAAAATAATTGTTATAAAATAAAACATAATTATTGCAAAATAAAATCATTAATAACATAATTTTCATTGTAAAATCCCAGTGTTTATACCATTTGATACATACGATGTTTCATTCTATCATACTAGTCAGCTTTGAGAGTTTATCAGTCTGTCAGGAAGTGACTTTTCCAACTCTTCTTTATAAACTTAACAGTATTAAAACCCTCCAACTTTTAACTTTCTTTTTTTTAAAAAATTTAAATAAGATTTTTTATTTTATACTGGTTTACTTACAAAGCTCATATACATTGTTTTTCACACCAGATCTTTCCCATTTCCTTTACTCACCTTTCCCTCTACCCATGAAGTTGTGCAACCCTATATGATTAACCACCCTCCCCCAACCCTACCCATCCTCACCACTCTGCTTCCACCCTCCCCACCTTGGATTCTCATACTTGTTCTACAATAATGGTCTTATACAGTATTTGTACTTCTGGGACGGAGTTCACTTAGCATAACACTTTCTAGACCCTCCCAAGTTAAGTAGTACTGTACAAAATCATTGCTCTTGCATGCTGCATAGTATCATCATGTGAATGTACCAGAATTTCTCAATCCATTAAATTGTGGTTGGACATTTGGGCTGTATCCAAGTTCTTGCAATGCTGAATAACACTGCTACAAACATTGGTGTATATCTTTTCTGTTTTCTTGACTTACCATATCCTTTTATTTTCGAGACCTTCCTCTTTTTCTCCTAATTCTTCTTTTCTTAACCTCAAGAATGTAAATGAGGCCCTTCAGCTGATCTGACTCCAATCTTGACGTAGGATTTAATAAACCCAGATTTTCATCTAAGTTCCAGATTTACCTCTACTGAGAATCTGTCTGCTATATGTTGTTGTCATGTACCATTGAGTCAGAACTGATTCATAGCTGACCCTCCAGCACATTTTCAGAGACAGAATCACAGAGATTGCCCATCTTTCTCCCACAGAACAGCTGCAGAATGCTACGTGCCTTTTGCTTGGCAGTACAACTGCTTAATGCTGAGCCACCTTATCTACTAGAGTTGATCTTTAAGGTGCTTACCTGATAGAAAATCATTAATGAAATATTTGATTGTTTTGATCAAACTGAAAATAAGATTGTTTAGATAGAAACTGCAATAATCTAATTTACTTCTCTAATTTTGATTGCATGCTGTCAAAAAACTTTGAGTTGTGCAGATAGTTTCAGATAGTTTTATTGAAGTCTATCTTTTCATCCAACTTTTTGTGGCTTTTGTTAGGTGCTATTGAGTCCCTTCTAACTCATAGTTAACTCTTTGTACAGCAAATCTTCTCAGTCTTTCACCATTGACCATTTGGACCAATTACTGTAGTCATTGTTCTCAGTCCATCTTGTCAGAGGTGTCTAGTGCTATAGTCTGTAGAATATTTTGCTGCACACCACAAGGCCACTTATCTCTATGGGTTTGAATCCACCAGCAACTCCACAGATTATGGCCGTTTTCCTCCCATTGAGATTTATGGCCATGGAAACCTGATTGAAGGTTGCTCTTGTGTCAGAATCAACTCAGTGACAGTGAGTGAGTGAGTGAGTGATACTCTCTTCAGCTGAGATGGCAGCAGTTCTTATTCTAACACACCAGAAACAAGTCAATTTGGAAGTTCATGTTAGCTAATCATGATTTGGTAGACATTTGATTTTTGACATAGAGAAGCGGAAAAAAAATGATGAAATAAGAGAGTCGAACAGAAGCATTCAAAGACAGCGCAGGAAGATATAGCAAAGTATTATAAAAACATGTGCAAAGAGTTTTAGTTAGAAAACCAAAAAGGAAAAATTCACTTGGCATTTCCCAAAATGAAAGAACTGAAAAGCAAACTCAATCCTTGAGGTTTTAGGATGAAAAGATTCTAGGGACAAATTATTAAATTATACAGGAAACATCAGAAGATGGAAGAAACGTATATTGTCACTGTACCAAAAATAATTGGTCAACACTGAGCCATTTCTAATGGTAGCATATGATCAAGAATCAGTAAGTAGTACTAAAGGTAGAAATCCAAACTGCAGTGAAGACACTGATGAAAAACAAAGTTCCAGGAGTTGACAGAATTCCAATTCAGGTGTTGTAACAAATGGATGCTGCCCTAGACATATTCACTCTTCTGTCCCTATAAATTTATAAGACAGCTATCCAGCCATTCTATCGGAAAAGATCCATATTTGCCTAGCCCGAAAAAAAGGGTGATCAAACATTGTAGAAATTACGGAACCCTACAAACAGTATCACACACAAGTAAATCTTGCTGAAAATAGTTAAAAACTACTAGAGCCCCTAAAGAAACCATAACTGCCACCCAAGCAGATATATGCGCACCCATGTTTATTGTGGCTTTGTTCGCAGTAGCGAATAACTGGAAACAACCCAAGTGCCTATCAGGAAACAAATGCATAGAGAAGCTGTGGTATATTCACACAATAGAATGCTATGCAGCATTGAAAAACAAAGAACTCATGAAATATTATGCAAAATGGAGGACATTATGCTGAGTGAAATATCTTAGTCACAAAAGGACAAACACTGCATAGGGACGCTGTTGTAGAATGGGACTGACATCGGGGTTGAGGGAAGATACAGAAGGAGGGGAGGAATGATGTATATTGCATTGAAACAGATGAGGAAGAGAACTGTTAAAAGGGATAAATGAATGGGTATTCTTGTCATTACAGAAGTCCAGAGTGAAGGCTGCATAGTGGAGTGGACTTGGTGGGGAGGGATTGCATAACAATGAAAGAATTTTTCTTTTTAAGGAGAAGAGTCAGTTGCGGTGAAGGGGATGGGTAGGGAGAAAAGTGCAACAATGAATGACTGGAAACCCTAAGTCTCTATAAACTTTCATTAAAATTAAATTTTTTTAAAAGGATGTTGTTGTTGTTGTTATGTGCTGTCGAGTCGCCTGCGACTCATAGTGACCCTATGTACAACAGCCCTAAACCCTGCTCTATCCTGTGCCAATTGCACTGCCTCTGACACACCCATCCTGATTACCCCAGTCACTGAATCAATCCATCTCATAGAGGACCTTCCCCTCCTGCGCTATCCCTCCACCCTACCAAGCATGATGTCCCTCTCCAAGGACCTGTCACTTTTTACAACATGTCCAAAGTATATAAGTATTAAAAAAACCTACTGGAACAATACATCAACAGAAGTATAAGCTAGATCTAGAAAGAGAATGTGGCACAGAAGATATCATTGCTGATATCAGATGAATCATGACTGAAAGCAGAGAATACTGGAAAAAATGTTTACTTGTATTTTATTCACTATGTAAAGGGATACAACACTATGGATTATAATAAATTACAGATATTGAGAAGACTAGGAATCCCAGAGCACTTAATTGTGCTCATGCTAAGCCTGTAGTAGACCAGGAAGCAGTCAGTTGAACAGAACAAGGGTATATCCATGATTTAAAGTTGTGAAAGGATTCTACACTAGGATTATATCCTCTCACCACCCTGTTCAGTTTGCCTGCCAAGTCCATAATCCAGTAAAGTGGATTATATGAAGAAAGGCTTCTGGATTGGAACCATGCTTATTAACAGCTTGCTGTTAATAATTGGAACAAGGCTTATTAACAGTGTGGAGATGATAACAGCCCTGCTTGCAGTAAATGAAAAAGACTTTTACCACCTACTGATGATGCTTAGAGACCCTAGGCTTCAGTATGAATTACACCTATTATGGATAGAATCATGTCCCCTCAAAATACATGTTTATAATGATTTAATGTGGAAAAAAGCTGTGTATTATTCCCTCATCTGATAAAGGGAGCTCTGGTGGCTTAGTGATAAGAAGCTGTACTGCAATGGTTTAAATCCACCAGCTCCTCTGAGGTAAAAGGACAGCTGTCTCCTCTTGTGCAATTTACTGCTTCTGAAAATCTGCTGGCGGGCCACCTATGGGTTGATTCTGACTCGATTGTACTAAATAGCAATAGCATGATCTGATAAGCCAAATAAAGATAGGGCAGTGATGGGCATGCTATTGTCGTTATGTGCCATCGAGTCGCTTGTGACTCATAGCAACCCTATGTACAAGAGCCCTAATCGCCTTTCTATCCTGTGCCTACCTCGCCATCTCAAACGCACTCATTCCTACCACTCCAGTCACAGAATCGATCATGTGAATGAGGGACAGTGTGAAAAGCTATGTATATGAACTTTGTAAGCAAATCAATATAAAATTTAAAAAAATAGTAATAAAAGGATTATATGCATCCCACTCAATCCTGTCACAGTGTGGATGTTTCCCTTGGGCTATGGCTTGAAATGTGGAGGAAAATGAGCCAAGAATGGAAGAGGAAACCTCAGTACTATACTGAAAGGATCACCAGGAGTAGAGTATGTCTCTATGGGCTTGAGTCTTAATTCAAGGAAGTTCCTTGACACTAGGGAAGGTCATGATGTGTGGAGATCTTTCAAAGAATGCTGGGGCATACAGATGCTGAAGGAAGCAAGGACTTTTGCTTAGAACCAACTAACGGAGAGAGCCTTCCCTCGTGCTGGCACCCTGAATATGGATTTGTAGCCTCCTAAAGTCCAAGAAAATAAATATCTGTTTGTTAAAGCCATCTACTTGTAGTGTTACTATGATAGCAGCACTAGATAACTAAGAAAACATCTTGGCATCAGGGAAACAGATAATCTTCGCAACTGGAATGATATCCAACATCATGAAAAACTGAAAAAAGATAGAAATTTCTAAGGATTTCTTATTGCCTGGATTCACAGTGTACACCAATGGAAACGGCAGTCACATCAAAACAGTGAATTACAGTGAGCACATTTGCTGCCACGAACCTCTTTAAAGTGCTAATGAGCATGTAACTTTAAAGACTTAAGGTACAACTGACCCAAGTGAGTTTATTTTCTGTCACCTCGTGTGTGAAAATTGGATGAATGAAGTAGACCAAAGGAGAATTTGAGTTTTGAGTTGTGATATTGGTGAAGATATTAAATATGCTTTTGGTCCCTCCTGGCCACATGCCTAAAGAATGTCGGACGGAACTTCAAAATCCTAGTCTCCAAAGAGAAACTTGGTTTCACCCTCTCCAAGACAGACCTCTTTGCTTTCTTGGCAGTCAATGGTATGTTCAAGACTCTTCTCCAACACCACAATTCAAAGACATCAATTCTTCTTCTGTCGTCCTTAGTCATTGTCCAGGTCTCTGATGCATAGCAAGTTGCATTGCAAAGACCGTGTCCTGGATCAAGCGCACCTTAGTCTCTAGACTGACATCATTGCTTCACACCACTCTGGAAAGGCCCCTGACAGCAGATTTTCCTAAGGCAATTTGATTTCCTGACTGCAGGTGCTGAGAGTGTTGATTGTGAATCCGAGCAAGCTGTAACTGTTAACAATCTCAGTCTCTTCTCCATCCATCATGGTGCTTCCAATTGGCCCAGTGGTGAGAATCTTTGTCTCCTTGATGTTAAGCTTCAATCCGTATTTCACTAAAGAATAACATAATTTCTGACTACTGTGGGGGTTGAAGAGAGGAGTGTCCTGCTGTGAGAGTTGTAGTCGAGAACCTAGGCATTTGTTCTTTACACAGACTTTTGTTTTAAAGACTCTCATTTGGAGACTTTATGCAGTTCTGTCTGGGTCATATACCTTGCTTTTCATTAGTAGCCCTGCCTGTAGACAATTAGGTATTACTGTATACTGTTTTGCTTCATCAGTTACTTTTTCCTAGCTTTCTGTCATCCACATATTTGTTGATAGCACTCACCTGTCTTTACAAAGCTTTGTCTTTTCTGTTTTTTTAGTCTAATTAAATGTTTAAATGTTGCTGTCGAGTTGAGTACGACTCATGGGTATGAACAAAAGAAGTGAACCCTGTTCTATCCTGTGGTATCCTCACACGTCCTGACACACAGAAGCCCATTGCAACAGTCACTGTGTCAGTCTACCTGGTTGAGGGAGTTACTAAATCCACTGTATTTAGTTCGAAGTTTCTATAAAAATTGTATACTTTTAAAATACCATTAATTGTTCATTTTCATTTCATCGTTTTCAGAGCTGGCAGAGCTGCCTTTGATACGGTTTGATTTCTCCTGCAATAAAATCACCACAATTCCTGTTTGTTACCGGAACCTCAGGCATCTACAGATGATTACTCTGGATAACAATCCATTGCAATCTCCTCCCGCACAGGTCAGCCTTAATTCAATTCCAAGTATGTTTCCAACTGTTTTGATTAGAGGGTCAAATTTTCACTTACTTGTTTTTATCTGTCTGTTGGGAATGAAATTATTTTAAAATAAATTCACTCAAGTATTATTTTCTATTTTTAAAACAGTGACACATGTATTTTAGAAGACAAATAAATGAGATGAGCAGTGGATGTTTCTGTAAATCTCTTTCCTTTGATTAAATTGCCATTTTTTAATTGAAGAGTTCTGGTTGCATAGTGAATAGGAAGTTTCTTTGCTAACCCAAAGGCAAACAATTGAAATTCACCAACTATTTCAAGAGAGAAAGATAGGCAGTCTCCTCATGTGAGATTTACAGCTTCTAAAAAACCTGTCTGCTCTAAGTTCTGATTCAGTTGCAGTGAATATTAGGCATTGTTTTTTTGCCTTCCTGTTTTCCAAAAATGAAGCTATTTCCAAATAAAGAAGTGATAAGGTAGCTTTACCTATGGATTCTATATATCATACAACCCATAATTTTCACCATAGCTTTCCCCCCCTTCTGTAATTTATTGATGATCTTATACGACCCTATAGTAACTATAAAGCTTTATGAGTAAAATTTAATTGGTTAAACTTACTTGGTTTATGCTTAAAGTTTATTTGGTTACATATGTTACTTGTGTTACTTTCTTTAGATCTGTATAAAGGGCAAAATCCACATATTTAAATACCTGAACATACAAGCTTGTAAGATTGCTCCAGACCTGCCCGATTATGATAGGAGACCCTTAGGTTTTGGCTCCTGGTGAGTATATTCTAGTCTTTTATTTGTCATAACCCATCTCACAGGCAATCCCATTAACTCTTTAATCTGCCTGTTATGTGACTAAAGGGAAAATGATCTGTTTTAACATTCCTAGTGTCAGGAGGTGGGGCTCTGGTGACCTAATAGTAAGGAGCTGTGCTGCCATCCCAAGGGCATGCGCTTTGAATCTACCAGATGTTCCATGAGATAGACAGTCTCTTCCTGTGCGACTTGCTGCCTCAGAAAACCTGGAGGGTCAGCTGTGAGTCAGTTCTGACTCAATAATACATAACAACGAAACTGAGGATAAGAAGTCCTGGCAGTATAGAGCATGATGTGTCAGGTTAATAGTTTGAATCTACCAGCTGCTCCACTGGAGATAGTTGGACAGTACTTTCAGGTGAAGATCTGTAACCTCAGAACCCTGATGGAGGGTTGCTGTGAATTAGAATCAATTTGATGCAAGTGAGTTTAGATTAGTATTCTCAGGATGCTTGTTTTAAATGTAAAGTTGGTTACATGTTGTTGTTGTTATGTGCCATCGAGTCGCCTGCGACTCATAGCGACCCTGTGTACAACAGCCCTAAACTCTGCTCTGTCCTGTGCCAATCACACTGTCTCCAACACACCCATCCCGATTACCCCAGTCACTGAATCAATCCACCTCATAGAGGGCCTTCCCCTCTTGCACTGTCCCTCCACCCTACCAAGCATGATGTCCCTCTCCAAGGACCGGTCCCTCTTTACAACATATCCGAAGTATGTTAGACGGAGCCTCAGAATCCGTGCCTCCAAGGAACCACCCAGTTTACCCTTTCCAGGATGAATCTGTTTATTTTCCTAGCAGTCCATGGTACCCTCAATACTCTTCTCCAGCACCACAACTCAAAGGCATCAATTCTCCTTATATCCTACTTAGTCACTGTCCAACTCGCTGATGCCTAACAAGTGATAGCAAAGACCATGGCCTGTATCAGACACATCTTAGTCTCCAGAGAGACACCATTCCTCTTCAGTACTTTGGAGAGGTCCCTAACAGCAGACTTTCCCATCACAATACATCTTTTAATTTCCTGGCTACAGTTGGCAAGAGTGTTGACTGTGGAGCCAAGCAAACTAAAGCTGTGTACAATCTCAATCTCTTCACCATCCATCCTGATGCTGCCAATTGGTCTAGTGGTGAGAATCTTTATCTTCTTCACATTGAGCCTCAATCCATATTGGAGGCTGCAGTCCTTGACTCTCTGCAGCAAGCATGTCAGGTCCTCTTCAGTTTCAGCAAGCAGGGTTGTGTCATCTGCATAATGTAGATTGTTGATGAATCTTCCACCAATCCTGACACCACACTTCTCCTCATAGAGCCCAGCCTCTCAGATAATCTGTTCTGCATACAGGTTGAAAAGTTATGGAGACAGCACATAGATCTGAAAAATTGTACTTTAAAAAAAAAAGAAACTGTACTTCTAAATCAGATTGTTTAATCTTGGCACTATTGACATTTTGTACCAGACAGTTTTTGTTATGAGAAACTTCTCAATATATTGTAAGGTGTTTAACAGCATACCTAGCTTCTAACTACCAGATTCCAGAAGCTTCCTTTGCCCTGACATGACAAACAAAAATATTTCCAGGCACTGCGAAATGTCTCTGAGAAGGCACTGTCAGTCACCCCTATTGAAAAATCACTGGTCTTAATGATTTCCAAACTAACTATGCTGCTAACTGAGTCCTCAGAGCTATGTCATCCATGACGAGCAAAAGGGTTTTACAAAGAAAGAAGACGACGAAAAGACCAAAATGGATGTCAGAAGAGACTCTTCAAATTACTCTAGAGCATCAAGAAGTCAAAACAAAGGGAAGAAGTAAAAACTTAGAAGATGAACACAAGATTTGAAAGGGCAATGTGAAAAAGTATTATAACAATATGCAGGGAGCTGCAGTTGGAGACTAAATAGACATTTCTAAAGTTGAAAGAACTGAAAAACACATTCAAGCCTCAAGTTGCAATATTGAAAGATGCTGTGAGGAAAATCTTCCGCGATCCAGGAAGCATCAAAAGAAGACGAAAGGAGTACACAACGTCACAAACCAAAAAGAATTGGCGGAGACTTAAAAATTTTAGGAAGTATTCAGGAGTTACTGAAAGTTCAGTAAAAATATCATGAAATCACAAGAGCCAATGGTAATGAAGGAAGATATTAAAGCTGCACTGAAGCCTCTGTCAAAAAATAAGGCCTCAGGTATGAATGTAATCCTAGTTGACATGTTTGATGAAGTCCTGAATGTGTTCACCCATCTGTACCAGGAAATTTGGAGGACAAACAGGTTGGCCGACTGACTAGAAGAGATCCATATTTGTTCCATTCATAAGAAAGGTGATCCAACAGAATGTGGAATATGAAACCATATCATTAATGTCGTATGCAAGCAAAATACTGCTGAAGATCATCCCAAAACAGCTAGCACAGGTACATTGACAGAGAGTTGTCAGAAGTGTAAGCTGGGTTTAGAAGAGGCGAGGCTCCAGGTATATTATTGCCCTTCTCAGACCCTAGCTGAAAGCAGAGAATACCAGAAGAATGTCTATGTTTTATTGACTATCCAAAGGCATCTTACTGTGTGGATCCTAACAAAGTATGGCTAATATTGAGAAGAATGAGAATCCCAGAACACTTAATTGTGCTTATACAAAACAAGAGCAAATGGTGATGGAGAAGGAAGTTCAATCTGCTCTGAAGGAATTGGCAAAAAACAAGGCCCCAAGAATTGATGGCACAGCAGTCAACAAACAGATACAGCCTTGAATATGCTGACTAGGCTATGCCAAAAAATCTGGAGGACAGCCACCTGGCCAACTGACTAGAAGAGATTCATATGTATTTTCATTACAAAAGAAAAGTGATTCGACAGAATTTGGAAATTGTGGAATGATATCACTAATAGTAATGCAAACAAAATCTTGCTGAAGATCATCCAAAAACTATTGGAATAGTACATTAACAGTGAACTACCAGAAATACAAGCTGGATTTAGAAGAGGCGGTAGCACTAGGGATATCATCACTAATGTCAGATGGATCTTGGTTGTAAGCAGAGAATATCAGAGGAATGTCTATCTGTGTTTCATTGACTGTGCAAAAGCATTTGACTTTGTGGATTACAACAAATTGTAGTTAACCGTGAGAAAAATGGGAATCCCAGAACACCTGATTGTGCTTATGCAAAACCTATACTTGTTCCAGAAGGCAGTCGTCAGAACACTGCATGGTTCAAAATCAGGAACGGAGTGCATCAAGAATATATCCTGTCTCCATACCTTTTCAGTCTATATGCAGAACAAATCCTTTGGGAGGCAGGACTTTATGAAGGGGAATGTGGCATCAGTATTGGAGGAAGATTCATCAGCAGCCTGTGTTATGCAGAAGACACAACCTTGCTTGCTGAAACTGAGGGGGACCTCAGGCATTTGCTTTGGAGAGTCACAGACTGAAGCTCAGTATCAAGAAAATGAAGTTTCTTGCTGTTGGGCCCTTTGGCAGCATCATGATAGATGGAAAAAAGATTGAGATTGTTAACAATTTCATTTTGGTTGATTTTGCAGTCCATACTCTTGGTACCAGCAGTCAGGAAATGAGCAGATGAGTTACATTAGGAACATGTGCTGTCAGGAACCTCTTCAGAGTAGTAAAGAGCAGTGATGTCATTCTATAGACTAAGGGGAACCTGGTCCAGGCTGGGGCCTTCACAGTTTCCTCTTATGCATCAGAGTGCTGGACAGTGACCAGAGAGGACAGAAGAAAAATTGATGCCTTTGAGTTGTGATGCTGGAAATTAATATTAAACATATCATGTGTTGCCAAGAGAACTAACAGGTCTGTCTTGGAGAGGGCAAGGCCAACGTGTTCTTGGATGCAAGGATTGTGAGGCTCCATCTCTCATACTTCGAGCATGTTGTCAAAAGGGATCAATCCTTAGAGAAAAATATCATACTTGAAACAGTGGAGGGACAGTGTAGAAGAGGAACACTCCAGATGAAATAGATTGACACAGTAATGAGGGTAGGTATGTCAGAGGTGGTGAGATTGGCCCAGGATAGAGCAGGGTTCAGAACTATTGTGCATAGAGTTGCTATGAGTTGTGGTCAACTCGATAGCACGTAACAACAGGTCAAGAAGCTGTTGTCTGAACAGTAAGAAAATACTTTTTGGTTTAAAATCAGGGAAGGTGTTTGTCAAGGCTGTATCTTTCTCCGTACCTATTCAATCTGTATGCTGGGCAAATCATTCTAGAAACTGGACTCTGAAGAACATGGCATCAGGATTGGAAGAAGACTCATCAATAACCTGCATTACGCAGATGACACAGTTTTCTTTGCTTAAAGTGAGGAAGAAGACATGGTTGCAGTAGAAGATCATACATAACAACCTTCTATATGAATTGCATTTGAACATCAAGAACATAAAAATTCTCACCACTGGATCTTTAAGGAGCAGCATCCTGATGGATGGAGAAAAGATTGAAAGTGTCAGTAATTTTATCTTAATTGGATCTACAATCTGCACCCTTGCTTGATTTATATCAGCTCTCAGGAGATCGGGAGACTTACTATATTGAGGAAGTCTGCTGTCAGAGAGACCTCTCTACATTACTGAGGAGCAATGATGTCAGTTTGAAGACTAAGGTGTTCCTGGTTACGGTATAGTCTTTTCAGTCACTTGCACTGCATCTGGGAGCCTGACAGTGAATAAAGATGACAGAAGCATTGATGCCTTTGAGTTGTTGGAGAAGAGCACTGAATATTCCATGAACTGCCAAAAGAACATAAGTCTTGGAGAAAATGTCACCAGCATACTCTTTGCAGGCAAGGATGATGAAACTTCATCTCATGTATTTTGAGCATGTTCCTAGTAGAGACTGTTCGTTGGAAAGATACATCATGTTGGAAGAGTCATCAAAAAAGTGACTGCAGCAGTGGTCTCAACTGTGTTCGTCCTCATCAGA